AAAAAAAAAAAAAAGAATATATAAAAACCATCTACATATAAAGGGAAAAGGAAATAAAAAAAAGAAAACTTTTCAAGAGAAAAAAGGCAAAAGGCATAATAGATATTTCACAGAAGAGGAAGTACAACTTACAAACATGAAGAGGTGCTCAGCTTCACAACTGATGAGGGAAATGAGAAGCCAGACCACAACAAGATGCCATTTGATACTTAAATATTATTAGCAAATATTTTTAAAAATATAATACCAAGGGTAGAAAGAATGTAGACCAATAGGCTCTCTTTTCATTGCTGATGGGAATACAATTGGTACAAGCATTTTGGAAAATAATTGGCCTTTTCTTGTCAAAGTTGAACACTCATATATTTGAGGACCTACAACTCCACTGCTAGGTATATACCCATTCAAGAGAAACTCTTCTAATGTGTCTCAGAAGACATGTATATGAATGTTCACAGAAACATTGTTCGTAAAAGGAAAAAAAAAAAACATCACTGCTGTGGAGTCAATTCAACTCGTAGTGACCCCTCCTTGGGTTTCCAAGGCGGTATCTCTATGGAAGTAGATCAGCCAATCTTCCTTCTGAAAACTGGCTGGTGGGTTTGAACCACCAGCTTTCTGGTTAGCAGTCAAATGCTTTAAGCACTACGCCACCCAAAACTGGAAACAACCCAAATGGGATCAGAATAGGTAAACTGGGATATATTTACCCCGAAGAATATTATACAGTAACAATCATGACAAAATATGTGACAACCTAGATGTACCTTTGTGGTGATACTGATTTTGAAAAAGCAAGTTCTAAAAGTCTGTATACAAAACCAGATTTAAAAATTCTTAAAATAAGGAAAGCAAAACAATATATTGTTTAGGCAGACATAGAAATGAGATAAAACTAAACAGTCAAAAAAATTCCTAATAGAGTGATAAGCTTAAAGTTCAGGGTAGATGTTACCTGGTCATTTCAGGGAGTGGGAAATCAGGGCAGAGGGGCAGGATAGAGGAGGTACACCTACGTAGATACATTATTGGTAGTATTCTAGGTCTAGTCTTGGTAGTGTGTAAACAGACATTCATTATATTATAAATGAAATAAAATAGCCTGCATGAACTAATGGGGATACCGTTCATGAACCAAGGTTTATGGTCAATCCAACACTGTCTACCCCAAGGTCAATATTTATATATAGACGTTGGGTGTGTGTGTGCACCTAAGCACCAAAATGAGAAATAGCTCCTCTCTACTCACACTGATGAGCTTACACCCGGATTGTGCTGTCTGCACACTACTCGATTTCTCTGGAAGTCCTGAAGTGGCATGAATGTTTTTAGGAATTGCATGTGTTTTTCCTCGAGAAAACTTGAAGGATATGTAAACAGTCCTTAGGCTTTTGAGGGGCTGCAACATGCAAGAGGGATCAACTTATTCATTAAGACTCCAGAGAACAGAAATAGAACAATGGCTGGTTGTAGATTCTGACTGAGAAACATAAGGAGGAGCAGGCTGGTAATGGAAAGTCTGTGAGCTCTGGGGCCACTCTGCACCCAAGACAGGGATTTTCTGGACAGTGTGCTAAAACAACAACAACAACAAATGGTTGGGGTGCTATATGGAAGTGAGCTATTTAAAATGGGAAGGAAAAGGGACAGAACTCATGCCAGGTTTGTGGTAGATGTTTTTTTATTTTCTATTTTACTGTTGAACAAGGGAGCCATCCCTCCTCTCTTTATTAGGTTGGCCACTAGCCACATGGTAGCCTCTAACATTTCCTACATTGCTGTTGAACATTTCAAGTTAGTATATCTCCTTTCTCCAATTAGAATATAAATTTCTTAAGATAAAGAATTGTTTTTTCCTCCTTTGCACAGACCTCTCTCCCATAATGCTTTCTGCAGGGAAGGAGCTCCACATCCAGTTTCCATGGAGTTTGATGGTTTCCTTCATTCTTTCACCAGCTATTTATTGAGGGGTGTCAAAGTATAAGTTGGAGGTACTTTTTGGCAGGGGGTCTATTTATTGGGGGTCTGAGTGCCAGGGCCCCTTCAATGCACTATTGTCTTATTCCCAAAGAAGCAGCACAGAGGATCCTGGAGTTGCTACCCAATGTCCTTACCTGGATAGATCCTGAAGAATCCCGTGGAACTGCCAAAATATTGCCAGCTCAGTGTTGGATCTCTCTGGAAGTTCTCCACAAAAACAGGGTTCAAGGCTTCAGACATGTAGACTCCATTTAAAATATCAGGGTCTGAAGGATAAGATTATAGGAGAATCTTCAGGGGAAACTAGCACACTCAACACACACACACACACACACACACAGAGCTACTTCCAGCAGTGATGTAGTTTAGAATTTCCCCCTATATGTCATTTGGAAAGCCATACTCACACCCTGTAATCCAAGTTTCTCTCAGCCCAGGCTTGTGTAGAATTATTATTTTTTCATCTCTAATATAGGAGGTTGAGGACATAGTTAATCATGAAAAGCCACCAGAACCTGAATTGTACACGTAAAAACTGTTGAATTTGAAAATGTTTATATATATATAGTTGTTGTTGTTATGTGCCCTCGAGTTGGACCTGACTCATAGTAACCCCTCCCTGGGTTTCCAAGGTAGTGTCACTATGGAAGTAGATTGTCCAACCTTCCTTCCGAGGAGTGGCTGGTGGGTTTGAACCACTAGCCTTCTGGTTAGCAGTCAAGTGCCTTAGATACTATGCTACCAGAGCTCTGTATACGTATATGTATATGTATATGTATATGTATATGTATATGTATATGTATATGTATATATATCACTGCCATCGAGTCGTTTCCACTAATAATGACCCCTCCTTGGGTTTCCAAGGCAGTATCACTATGGAAGTAGATTGGCCAATCTTCCTTATGAGGAGTGGCTGGTGGGTTTGAACCACCAGCTTTCTGGTTAGCAGTCAAATGCCTTAGGCACTATACCACCAGGGCTCACTCTCTTTCTCTCTCTCTCTCTCTCTCGCTCTCTCTCGCTCTCTCTCTTTCTCTATACACACACACATACAACCTGCACTATCCTCCATAATCTCTGAAACAGTTGAGAAGGCATACTAGGTGGCAAAGTGGGGATGGCAGGAGCTACCTTTGTTGTACACATTGGTGGGCAGCTGCACACTGCTGATGGAGGTGTTCACTTTCAGGTTGCTGAAGTGTGCATTGGACTCCAGGACAAACTTAGCTCCCAGTTCCACATAGTTGCCATTCTCGTCCTTCTCATTGATCAGGACTGAGTTATAGTAGTCAAACTAGGTACGGAGGGGATGAGCCAGACAGAGATATCCCAGACAGAAAGGACATGCAGAGTAAGAGAAAAAAAAATGGCACAGGTCAGAGGACTCAGACGTGAGAGACAGGGATCAGGGATCAGATGGACTGACAGTGTCTTACAAGTGATGCCAGTGGAGAATTCAGGCAATGATCCGGATGGTTCAGGGGCAAATGTGTTTCCAGATAATCGGAACAGATGGTTTATTTGACTGGTTTTTGGTGTGAATTGTTCAGATTATTGTTTTGCGACTCCGTTTTATTTAGTGTGTATAGACACAGGCAGAGATGGGGACAGAGACAGCCAGATCTATATTCAAGGAGAGAAAAGGAGACAAAGACAGCTGCATCAGCACCATCAGTTTCTTTCAGGTTGGGCAGGTTCCTTGAGACCCAAAATGGAGCCTGAGAGATGGCTCTTTAACAAACAGCCACTGTTCTGGGCCTCAGTTTCAGTCCGGGCAGGGTCTGTGATGCTCCATGTCCCCTCTGTGGAGCCTGGAGTCTGCTGTGTCTCATACAGTGTCAGGAGTGCTTGAAGTACTACTCATGGAGCCAGAATCAGACCCTCTTCCCTGCTCCCTCCTACCATCACCTGGTCCAGGACTTGGACAGCCCCTACCAGGGTGATTGCTGCAACACCGCACCTTACTTACCCCCACCTCTGATCCTGTACACCTAGCTCATCTTCCAACATTGCTGCCAGCATTAGCTTTCTAGAGCACAAACCCAGTTGGGTTCTCCCCTCACAGACCCTTCCTTATTTACCATTTCCTGCTGAATAAAGACCAGATGCTCTACCCTGCCATTCAGAGTCTCCCACTGTGTGTCCACTTTCCTTTTTAAGGTCATTTTCTGCTTCACCATCACTCTGGACACACAAAGTTGACCATTTACTGTTTCCTCAACCAGACTTCTCTTTTCTAATTTCAATGTCATTTTCTCCCCTCAGTCTATAAACTTCCTCACACCTTGTTGTGGTTGTCAGCTGCTATCGAGTCCAATCTCATCTCAGGAGCCCCCATGCCCAGGGAAACAAAACACTGGCTGGTGATGTGCTATCCCCATGATTGGTTGAGGATCAGACCATTGTATTTTATTGACTGATTTTCAGAAGTAGATCGCTTGACCTTTCTCCCTAGTCTGTCTTAGTCTGACAGCTCCTCTGAAACCTGCTCAGCATCACAGCAACATACAACCCTCCGCAGACACGTGGTGGCTGCACATAATGTACATTGGCCAGAAACTGAACCTGGGTCTCTTGCAGAATTCTACCACTGCATCACCAACACTTCCTTTCTCTGTGCCTACCAAACCAAAAACCAAACTCACTGTGGTCAAGTTGGATCCAACTCATAGCGACCCCTCCTTGGGTTTCTGAGGCGGTAGCACTACGGAAGTAGTTTGCCCAACCTCCAAATTCTCCTGCAATCTCAGGCCCAGCCCTACCATCACCCTTTCAGCAAATATTTCTGTATGTTTCTCCCCTACCTTATTCTGTATTCTCATACCACTCTGTTTACCTGTTTTGTGGCCTTGTTTCATGCTTTATACTAAAATTATTTGCTCTGTGTGTCTTGAAGACAAGAATATGTCTCACTCATTTATCTTGTTATCTACATAGAGGCTAGCACGTTGCTTTGCCTATAAGACATTGAACAATAAATGTCTATCACACCAGTGGATGGTCATTCTATGCTCCCTGCCATAGTTCTTGGTAGTTGTCTCTCCTACCTGGTCCATAAATCCCTTCCCAAAGGATTTGAAAGTATTTCAAAAAGCAAACTATTGTAGGTTCACACAAATCCTGTGTATATTTAAAGTGAGGGCTGAACTGTCATGTACCTCCATACCCCTCCATATCACACCCTTAGTGGCCTTGGCTCTGTGTTGGGGTTGGGGACTTAGTCATTACACCCTCCCAGCACCAGCTCTGGACACAAGAAGACTTACCACCAGAGAAGCGTTGAATTCATGGTTCAGGTCAGCCTCCTCCGCAGCTTCCACCAGCCTCTGAGAGACACAAAGAGGAGAATAAGTAGTCAAGGGAAGTAAGGGTGGGGGGTGGGGTGCAGCTCCTCAGAAATCAAAGACCTGAACTCCTGTTCTGGCTTTGTCAGTGGGCAAGTCACTAAAGCCTCTGGGCCTCTATTTATACAACTGCAAATTGAGTAGAATAATCCTTACCTCCCTGCTCCCAGCCCCATTTAAGTTGTGATGAAGAAACTCCACAGAGCAAAAATTTTTTCAGTAGTGCTTTGCAGGAAATTTCCCCTCAAACACACTCATAGATGGTTCTGTGGCCCAGAGAGAACCACTCAGCAGGGAGCAGGGAGCCATTGCACTTTTGAGGCTGTGAGAAGGAAGCAGTGGGATTGGAGACCTCTGCTTTCTGCTCTAGTGTCCCAGGCCCTGCAGGTACAGTGGTGCATTTCTGCCTCTCAATGTCTGTGCTTGACCCAGAGAAGCTGTTTAAACAGTTTGCTGATTGAAGGAGGCAGGTACTGTAGGTGGCAGGAGTGTGGGAGGTTAAAGTCCCCCTGCAGTGAGGTGTGATTCAGGGGCCCAGGATGAACTCTTGAGCCCCCACTTATCTGCTTATTGGTCCTGATGCTTGAGATTCCCTGTCCCTAAGCCTGAAGGGGTTCTTGTGTACTACAAACAATTAATATGCTTAGCTGCTAAGTGAAAGACTGGCGGTTTGAGTCCACCCAGAGGTTCCTCATACGAAAGGTTTGGCAATGTGCTTCTGGAAAATCAGCTGAAAATCACTGAAATTTGGGGAACACAGTTGTACTCTGACACACATGGGGTCACAAGAGTCGGAATCGTCAATGATAACTGGTTTAAGCCTGAAGAAAAGAAGCTGCAAATTCTAATGCATGGGGAAGAAAGCTCAGGACCTGTGTTTGACACTGGATCCCTCATAGATGGGGGTTTTGATGGAGGAGGTGGACAGGCAGAGGCAGCTTAACGCACAGTTTTGGCCTGAACTGGCCAGTGTTAGACCCTGTAAGGCTGATGCTTGCCTCACCTCTCACTGTAGTCATACCCTCACCCCTTGGTGCTGGCTTCAGCCCTCATCTTCCCCACATAGCACATCACCCTGTCCCGTCTTCTCTCTCAAGACCACTGGTTCTCAGTTGTCCATAGTTCTGGGCTCCCCCAAGGATGTGGTTGGTTTTCGGGGTCCTTTCAGGGACAATAATGGTCTTGAGGTGGGGACTTTCTCTCTAACCACACAATATTTACTGGTTTGCAGCAACCTGGTCCCTGTGGGCATCCTGAGGAGACATTTCCTACACAGTGAAGGCAACACATTCAGGGTCTACAGGCCAAGCCAGGGCTGGTGGGTGTCCAGTGATGGAATCACCTGGACACCAGGCTAGGCTCACTCATGGTGGGCACCTCAGCTGCCTGAGTGGCCACCAGAGCTCTTGGGTGCCATGAAAATTAAAATTAAAGAACACCAATCCCACTGTCATTAAGTCAATTCTATCCCTATGGGGAATAGAACTGCCCCATAGGATTTCCAAGACTGTAATCTTTGCAGAAGTGGACTGCCACATCTTTCTCCCACGGAGCAGATGGTTGGTTTGGGTTAGTAGCCAAGTGCTTAACTGATATGCTATCAGAACTCCTTAGATGCCATGAAATAAGGGTCTTTATAGTGGAAAGGGAAAGGGGGAAATAGGGAAAGAGGGAGGGGGGAGAGGAGAAAAGGGAGGAAGCTGTTAATTGATTGTTCTCCATCCAGCTATACTCTAATCTATCCATCCATTCATTTAGTGAGTAATTCCTAAGTCTTCATTCCATACACTGCACAGTACTAGTAACTAAATAACCAGCAACTAGTTTCCATTGAGTCAATTCCAACTCATGGTGACCCTATATGTGTCAGAATAGAACTGTGCTCCATAGAATTTTTAAAAGCTGTTCTGGTTATCTAGCACCGCTCTGACAGGAATATACCACAAATGGGATGCACTTTAACAAACAGGAGTTTATCCTTACAATTTGGAGGCTTTAAGTCCAAGTGCCAGGCTCTAGGGGCTGGGTGAAAGCCCCTCAGCCTTGGGCTTCAGCTCTGCCTCCAGCTCCCTGCCCACTGAAGCTGGAGGCATTTCTTCACTCAGACAGCTGCTGGCTGCTGAGACAGAGAAACCCAAGGTTGACAGGTAAAAAGGCACAGTCCCAATTTACCAAACCACACAGCAGGCCATTGATTTAAGTCCATTGTAAGTCCCACAGTCGGCAGAGCATGGCAGGCTGCTGAACAAGGACATGGTACATGCAGGGTCCAAGTATGCCATAGGCTAGAGACCATTCCCAAGGCTTCTGGTTATATACAGGAAGCAGACCACATCCCTAAGGCAGCTACTCAGGTGCTTGTGGTAGACCCCACCATGGAGGTGATTACCAGTCTCATCATGGGGAATAACTACCACAAGCTGCCCAGCCACTCAACCACGCCTAGCCAAGTTGACACACAAACTGAGCTACCACAAAAGCTGAATTTTTGGAAGTAGATTGCCAGGACTTTCTTCCAAGGCACCTCTGGGTGGATTCAAATCTCTTGGTTAACAGTCAAACTTGTTAACTATTTGGACTACCTGGAGACTCCAGTAACCAAATAAAAACTTGTAATTGGAGCTCTGGTGGCAAATGGTTAAGCACTCAGCTGTTAACTGAAAGGGCAGTGGTTTGAAAGTACCAGTGGCACTATAGGAGAAAAGACCTGGCCATCTGCTCCTGTAAAAATTTCAGTCTAGGAAACTCTATGGGGCAGTTCTACTCTGACCTATAGGGTTGCTGTGGGTCACTGTTGACTCCAAGGCACACACCAACAGACAACAACTGAGTCTTTCTTAATACTGTATGGTGATCCCACTGTATTTGACATCATTACCCTTAAGGTAGAGCTGAAATCCCAGCTCCCCTCATCCCACTTGCTTCCCATCATTCCTCTTTTACAATGTTGAGCAAAGATCCTTTTGGCTAATGGATATATAAGGCACAAGCCTTGAAAGGTAGATCATGTGGGTGAGAGGATGAAAGACTGTGCCATCAGTGAAGGTCAGTTCTCTGTCCTGGGGGCTGAGATAAGCCTTCTCCCAGGTTAAGGAACCTGGATTACCTTGACAGCTTCCACTTTCCTCCGCAGCATGTTCTCCATGTCCTCTGAGAACTTCCTCACCAGTGCCAAGCCGTCCACCTCCTTGATCTTCAGACTGGACTCTACATCCTTATATTTCTGCTCCAAGGAAAGTGGGAGACATAGACATGTATCATTTTGTGCCACATTGTTTAGCACTTGATTACACATAGTCTCCATCCTATGGGCACTCACACAACTAAAGTCTTGTTTACTTAGCTAGAGGCAAGGAGAGGCTCTCTCCTTGCATAATCTCCCCCTAGTAATTTTTATCAAATATCTTCTATGTTTTGAGTACACTGAACTCATTATGATTCATACCCTTAACAGAGGCATAAAGTGAAGCTCAGAGAGGTCAATGACCTTGACCAAGATTAAACCCCAAACTCCAAACCAAATTTACTGCTGTTGAGTCAGATCCAACTCATAGCAACCCCTCCTTGGGTCTCTGAGGTGGTATCACTACAAAAGTAGATTGTCCAACCTTCCTTCTGAGGAGGGGCTGGTGGGTTTGAACCACCAGACTTCTGGTTAGCAGTCAAATGCCTTAGGTACCTATGCTACCACACAGTCAGATAGGTCTCCCAGACTTCCACACCTATGTTCTTTGTGTTTCCCTGGAGTCTGCTCACCCAATTGTGAAACCACCCTGAACATCACTTCATCTTTTCCTGATGCATCAGAAGGCAGATCTTGATATCAGTGTGTCCCTGGCCAACCAATGTCACTCTCAATGAAGCAAGTAATGAGGACAGCTGCCTGACAAACTGCTGGTGAGCCCAGGGGAGTCAGGAGACCTGGATTCAAGTTTCCTGTCTGGGCCCACATGAGACAATCTATCTGAGTGTGTTTGTAATGAGTGTCCAATGTCCCAGCTCTGCAACCTATTGGTTGTGTGCCTTTGACAAGTCACTCTATCCTTCAGTTCCTTCACCTGTAAAATGTGACATTTGTATAACATTTTAGAAAATGCTTTTGCCCAAAAGAACCACATAATTACTGCTGCATCTTTACCACCTGGGGTTGGAAGGATCAAATGAGAAAGCCAAATGAAGCAGTGCCTTGCAACATAGGAGTGTGGCAGGGTGGAAGATGGGATATGAGCTATCACTGCTACCACAGCCTATGGAAAGGCCATTCCTGTGGGGCCCAGTATGAGGAGCAGGCCCACCCTGTGTTCCTCCCACTTCCTCCAGCTTGAGGACCTAGGGGCTGTGGGGAAGGGAGAAGAAGAAAGGACTGCAGTGTGGTTCCATGAAGGTGTAAAAGCCTGAGATTTACTCTTGACATCATTTACAAATTGGAGAAGATGATACTCATCTCACAGAGTTGTGAGAATTGAATCATGAATATAAAGCTCTTAGCCAGTGATGATAATAAAAAAGAATGGCAAGAGGGTCATGAGTATTAGAGAAAAAGGAAGTTGTTTACAATCTGTTAAGAGGACAGGCTAACTGTAGCTCTGCACATAAAATAATGAACAATTACAGTGTTAAAAGGGAGAGGAAGACTGGAGCCTTGTCTCTCCTTTGCAAGTTGCTTCTTGCCCAGGACCCCAACAGTGGGCTCAGACCTCTGCTAAAGCACTATGTGGGCACGGGCTGTGGCCGGAGGTCCTGGAAACTGAGGTATGGGAAGGCCTCCCTACATAGACGGCCACAGACTAGCCCCAGACTTGCTTCTCCAGCAGCTCCTCTGGAAGGCCCTGCACACTGCCTCTGAAGCTCCTATTACCCAGCCTGCCTTCCTTCCCTCTCCCTTTCACAAGGGGTGGCCCTGCATCCCATCTGTTCACTCCTGTTCCCTCTCCCCCATATTCTTCACTGGTGCCACCACTGGGAAAGCTCTTGTATATCTAATTCCATATTGATGTGTGCTTCTCAGAACATCTGAGCTAACACAACATTCTTAGCCTCTCCACTGCACTGATTCTCTGACCCCCTTCGTGACTCGGGCAAGTTGCTCACATTCCTGGGTCTCAGTTTTCTCATCTGAAAATGAGGGGCTTGTATTAGATGATGTCCAATGCAATGACATTTGGGGATTTGTGACCCTGCTGTCTACCAGAAAGGTGTCCCTAGATAACAGCCCTCTGATCACCCCATGAACTGCTTTGGCCTGAGAAGGGGTTACTGACCTTCTGAAGCAAGAGAGAGCCTGAGTATTTGGTCACAGTGTTATACAGGTCCCCACCGAAGGTATCTGCCCACAGCTTCACTCTGCCAGGAGACAAAAGTACATGTGTATACTCACACATACAGACATACACAGGTTAGCCTGAATTATCTAGTTATTCATTTATGTGAATACGCACAAGCACACACACACACACACACATCGTACATACAAGGATTCATACATATACACAGATATACATGCATACACATGGATATACACCCAGAAGTAACACACACAGAACTGCTGATCCTCCTGTCCCTAAATCTGCAACCCTGGCCAGTGCAGGAGACCAAGAAGAGATACCGGGGCTCGGCAGCTGCATGGCCTGTGGGTGGACCTCCACGCGGTGAGCACCCTTGGCTGTATCTCCTTTGCAGGCCATGGAACAGGTGTTGATGAGCCCAGAATCACAGTGAACTCTGAACGCCCCAGGGCTCTGGGTTGTGAATGGAGAATGGAAAGGAGAGAAGGAGAGAAGAGGCTCTGGACAGGTTCAAACTAGGGCAGGAGGACCCCCAAGGACAGAAACAGCTTGGCCACAGCTGCAGCTTCTCGACAATTCACTGGCTGCAGTGTTTCCCTCCTCATTTCCACTGTGGCCACTGGAGTCCTCTGCTGAAACCTCAGAGGTAGGGTGAGACAAGGAGGCCGAGGGCAGGACAGGCAAGGAGGCGTGAGACAGCTGAGTGGGGAAGCTCTGACCTCCCATCCTTCTCCTAGAAGGGCACTGGGTCCCCACTTCTGTGGCAGGCTGGAGGAGTCCTGGGAGCAGGCAAACAGGATAACACTGAGCCTCTCCATAAAGAGAAAGAGTCATTTGCCTGTGTGATCATTTCCTTCACATATATCGGCATCATTCATTCATTCACCCATTATTTATTGAGGTTTTACTATTTGTCAGGGTTTATTGAGGTTTTACTATTTTTACTAGTGCTCAGCTGCTAAAAGAAAGGTTGATAGTTTGAACCCACCCAGTAGCTCCACGGGAGAAAGACTTGGTGATTTGCTTCCTGTAAGGATTATAATCAAGAAAATCCTATGACATCTGTCACATGGAGTGGCTATGAGCTGGAATCAACTTGATGGCACGTAACTGATGCCATGGTTAAGCACTTAGTTGCTAACCTAAAACCAGAAAAAAAAAAAAAAAAAAAAACCCAAACTCACTGCCATTGAGTTGATTCCAACTCATAGTGACCCCCATTGGGTTTCCAAGGTGCTAAATCTTTATGAAAGTAGATTGCCCAGTCTTCCTTCTGTGGAGTGGCCAGCAGGCTTGAACCACCAACGTTCTGGTTAGCAGTCAAAATGCCTTAGGCACTATGCAACCAGAGCTCCTTGGCTGCTAACCTAAAGATCAGCAATTCAAACCTATCAGTCGCTCTGTGGGAGAAAGATGTGGCAGATTGCTTCCGTAAAGAAATCCTTGGAAATCCTATGGGCAGTTCTACCCTGTCCAATAGAGTTGCTATGAGTTGGAATCGACTCAATGGCAATGAGTTTGGTTTTGGTTTAATGAAAACAACACTATGTCCTGGGTATTGTGCACAGTGCTGAAGCCACATCACAGTGTACATGTTTGTAAACCCCTCAGTTAGTGGGATATCCCTTCACATACAGATAGCATAATACAGGCTTGAGGTGTCATGGGAATACAGAGAAAGGGTGCAAATTAAGCCTGGGGAGGGTTAGTGGTGGTGAGGGAAATCTTCCTGCAGGAAGTGGGATCTGAGTTCAGTGCTAGAGTTTAGCCTGGCAAATAGATTTGGAAGAAATTCTAGGCAGAGAATTCAAGTTCTAGGTACAAAGAGCTTGGAGAAGTCAAAGATGACTTCCAGCTTGCATGGTTGGGCTAATAGCAATGTCACTGAATAAAATCAAGAGTATCAGGAAGAACAGGGGGAGCAAGTTTGGCAGCAGGATAAGGAGATGAGTACAGCTTAGGATATGTTGAATATGATATTTGCATTACAGGTCTGATGAGTACAGTGGGGCAGGTTGTATACTGCACAGTTTTGAAAAGCACCAATAGCATTGGGTCTATATGAATTTAAAAGCTTTCAGGATGTTCAGATAGAATCATCCATAGACAATGACCAAAATGTTGTTGGTTTGAACCGACAGCTGCTCTGTGGGAGCAAGATGAGGCAGTCTGCTTCCATAAAGATTTGCAGCCTTGGAAGCCCTATAGGGCAGTTCTACTCTGTCCTACAGAGTTGCTGTGAGCCAGAACTGATTCAATGGCAGTGGGTTTTTGTGTGAGCCTGATGGGCAGAAGCCAGGGCTGGAAATAATTTGTATATGGATGAGAGTTGAAATTATGAGGGTAGATGGGATCTCTCAGGGGGAGTGTATCATTTAAGATCTAGGAGTGGTTGACAAAACCTTGGGAACACCAACAATTTCTGGGGCAGGAAGAGGAAAAGGAGCATTAAGGAAGAGAGAGAGGTGTATAAGAACAGGGAGAGCACAATGTTATGGAAGTCAAAGCATCAAGATTCAAGAAAAGGGGAGAGGTTAATGTCACAAGCCACAGAGTTCAGGGAGATGAGGCCAGAAATACCTACTGGATTAGGCAATAGTGGGAGACCTTGAGAACAAATGTAGAGGGAATGGAAATATAGGTGTGTAGTAGAGGCTAAAAGGGTGGTGGGAGGTCCCTACTGGATTAGGCAATAGTGGGAGACCTTGAGAACAAATGTAGAGGGAATGGAAATATAGGTGTGTAGTAGAGGCTAAAAGGGTGGCGGGAGGTCCCTACTGGATTAGGCAATAGTGGGACACCTTGAGAACAAATGTAGAGGGAATGGAAATATAGGTGTGTAGTAGAGGCTAAAAGGGTGGCGGGAGGTCAGGGAGTGGCTGGACACGAGAGGAATGAAAGATCTTTGCAGGGGAAAAGATTTAAAAGGATTCAGTAGGAAAGGGAGACTGAAGACATAGGATAAGAGAGGAGGGTTGGGAGACAAGGGCCTGGGTGGAGGTCTGGGTCCAAGAGGGTGGGTGGACAATAGAGATGTGAGCATGTTTATAGGCTGTTGATCTCAGCCAGCTCTTTGGGTTTCCTATGTGGCTGGTCCACAATTTGGTCCACCTCAATGAAGGTCTGGATTCCAGATGTTTGTACCTGGTACTCAGCCTTCCTGGACCTCAACTTCTACTATTAATTGGCAGATGCCCTGGGAATGAAAATTATTCTGGACAACTCCCTTGGCAGTTTTATAGGCTGACAGTGGGTGCAATGGGAAAGTGCAGGACAGACTGACTTTAGTTCAAATTCCAGTATTTTTGTTTACTTGCTGTATGGACTTAGGGAAGTCACCTAACCTCTCTGAGTCACTACTTCCTCAACTATAAAATAGAAAAGTATTAATGACCCCACTGAATTGAGTGAGTTAAAGATATCATCTGTAAAGTACCTCCCACAATACCAGTCATATAAAAAATAGGGGTTAGACAGTTCAATGGGAATGGGCTGCCCACATCCACTGCTCAACAAAGTTAACACAAACAGTATGCATTTCTGGGCTCTCCTGTATCCACTTCTGTTAAGGCATGCAGCTGACAGTTGGCTCTAATAGTAGCCTGACTGTCATGCGGGGCTTGAGTGGCTGGACTTAGATATAGGACAAGTAGTTAGCAACTTCAGTCTAGGGGAGACAGCCTGGATGCTGTGACAGTCTGCTCCTCACACATATTGGCAATTTCTTTAACAGGACCACCAGATCTAAGGACTATAAACAAACAATCCCAAATAGACAAAGTGTGGGATATACATACAATGGACTATTATTCAGCCATAAAGTGGAATGAAGGACTGATGTGTGAAACAATGTGGATAAATCTTGAAAACTTTATACTATATAGGACTTCAGTCAAGATGGCAGAATAGGCAGACAAGCTACACAGACCCTCTGCAACAAAGCAATGAGAAACCAGTTGAAACTGATGATCCCTGAACCCTGAGCTTTGATGGCAAAGATAAAGAAGTGGATTAAATACCCACCAGTGGAAGAACCTGAATGAAAACAGTGAGTGAGAAGATAAACACAGCTGCGGACTGCCCTGAGGGCACAAGCATTTTGAATATTTCCCAGTAGCAACGCATGAATCAGCTCTGCTCACTAAAGACTGCATGGGCAAGGACTGCATGGGTGTGTCTGACAACCAGAAAGGAAAACAGCAAAGAAGAAGACAAATAGACCTGTGGAGTGCAGAGGCTGTCCTGAGAGTGCAGCTATTTTGAAATATTCACAAGCAGCAGGCAAGACCATTTTGAATATATGCAAGTGGTGTTCTTCCTAAACTGTGATATAGGAGGGGGATCCACTTGCTGAAGACAGGACAGACAGGCAGCTTCACTGGAGGCTGAAGACTGGGAAGGTGCAATATTCCCCTTGTTACTCTTATACCCCACATACTGTTGGTGAACAGAGATATGGCCATCCCCTGCCTCCACCCATCTTCTTGACTGGCAGAAATTCCATCCAGGTCTATGATCTGTGCCCTGACAGAGTCTGAGTACTGTGTCCCTCCCCCTATAGTTTTTTTTTTTTTAATTATTCTTTTTATCTTCCTCTTTTTTATTTTTTCACTTGTCCCTGGTTCATGTTTTTTTTTTTGTTTGTTTGTTTGTTTTTACAATTGTTCCTGTTTGTTTATGCAGTTTGGATGTTTTGTTCTCTTGTTTTTATTATTTTGGTTTTTTGTATTTTTATTTTTGTCTGACTGCATGGAAGACAGCAACTGTTCCAACAAAACCCAAATATACCTGCACCTCCTGCAGCCCCACCCACTGAGTGAGGCCCAGTGCTTGCCTTTGCACCAACTGACCAACAATAGACAACAGCCAATACCAGCTCAACTCACCCTCAACTATTGCTTATAAATAGCTAACAGAGATCTGTATACACACTCTCATTCTCTTTCACACATCAAGCATAAAATAACAACAGCACAATGTCTCATAGACAACAGACCATCACAGTCCACACAAAGAAGCAAGATAAAATAGTACAAACAAGGGTTCAGGATACAAACC